TTGGATCCGATCCGCAAAAGGATATACACGTTGGGCCGGTATCTCGACTCCAGTATCCGATCTGTAGATAACTTAAAGGTATGGAAAATAGTTTGTGTTTTACCGTATAAACGATGTATTAATGAATGAAATGCCTGTCCATTGAAAACTTAGAGTGATTTCTATGTATACGACATACAATCGAATCGATGGTCACTGGTATGCGATGATACCGGCGCTGTTGGCGGACCGGCGCTGGTGTTCGACCACCAGATGTGTATAGATTTGGAGAAAAATACTATTTATGTGTTCGGGGGTCGAGTGCTCTCATGGTTTGTATTGAACTCTTTTACCGCTATATTCACTGTCTAAACATACCGTTCCCTTACAGTCTGTCTGATGAACGCGCGGCCAACTGTCCGGAACTGCCGGTGTTTAGTGGTCTGTATATATACGAAGGGAATAGCGGTAAATGGCGTAAACTTCGGGACGATTGTCCGGCGGTAGGTGTTCCCCAGAGCGCCGGCAGTAAAGAGATAAAGTCACGGATCGGCCATTCGATGCTTTTCCACCAGAAGTCGCGACTGTTGTACGTATTCGCGGGTCAGCGACAGAAGGAGTACTTGAGTGACTTCTTCACGTATAACGTGGACACGGATGAGATAGTGGTCATCAATGATGGACACAAGTCGGAGGTACCCTCCGCAGGGTTCACACAGAGGGCTACCATTGATCCTGAGACCAATGAGATACATGTGCTGTCGGTATGTGTGTTGTCTGTCGACTAGAGTTTGGCTTTAATTGTAATTAAATTTGTTATTATTTATGGAAAACAGGGCTTAAATCGAGACAAAGACAAGGATAAGGAGAGGGATAAGGACGCGGACCGGGCGGACAGGGATAAGGGGACGGTAGGCGCCTCTGCCGGCGATGAGGAGACGGTGAAGAACTCGTTTTGGGTGTACGACATACCGGACAACCGGTGGTCATGTATTTACCGCAACCACAGCTCACTGGACACCGACTCCGACGCCACCAATAATAACAATACGATTGGCGCCGACACCGAGACTACTCCTACCGCCTCGACAGCCGCCTCAGCGGTGGTGGACGCGGGTGACACAGCCTGTGGTGAGCCCTGTCAGCCGTGTCCCCGGTTTGCCCACCAATTAGTCTACGACCACATTCATAAGTGTCACTATCTGTTTGGTGGTAATCCCGGACGTAATCAGAGCCCGAAGCTCAGGCTCGACGACTTCTGGACACTGGAGGTACCGGTGCTCTCGTTTACCGCGAGTGGGAAAGGGATGTCTAATAGATTTGAGTGAATTTAAAGTTGTTTTTGACTCTCATTTATAGCTGAAACGGCTGTCCAGTGAGGAGTTGTTGCGTAAGTGTCGCCGTCTGGTCAGAGAGCAGTCGTACCGCGAGATCATACAGAGGGCGCCCCAGAGGGCCATCCAATACCTCCAGAATCAGTTGTCGCAGACTTTTGACCACTCGGTGCCCGACGAGAGCCGTGCGGTTAGTATTGGTTCACAAATCCCTAAGTTTTACTGCTTTTTATTACTTATAACGCATTGATGTCTGTCTCTGATCTCCAGTTCCAGTCGTTGGCGGCACTGATGTTCCAATGCGAGGGCGACACCGACAGCCCTAACCCCGTGTCGATGGAAACGGATCCCCCGGACGACCCCAACTACAGGAGCCGTACGAAAGTGTTCGACACAATCGTCGAGTACTTCCCCGAAGACATGACTCAACCGAAGGCTAATTTAGTCGATTTGGTGCTGATCTGATGGAAAGGCATGTAAAAGAGTGTGTGAGTGAGTGTATGAGCGGCTCCTATAGGCAATGGGCCCGCATTTTATCGTTGAAAATGTAATTTTATTCTCAAATCATTTGTCTTAATAAAAGCAAATAAAAAATATATAAATTGTATGAAAACTTTGTTAATAGAAAAACTCGTTTGAATGTCACATAAGACTACATTGTCTATACATTGATCAGAATATTCTGTGGCACATAAAAATGTATTACCAATATATGTGATACAATGAACTATAAACTGAAGGATTCTGTCGTTTTAAGCAGTGTACGTACGAGTGTCATTTTTGTCACTAATCTCTTATTAAACAATAAAATTGTTGCATTCATTCTACCTTGCTACATTCACTCGTACGTACACTGCTTAAAATGACAGAATCCTTCAATTTATACAATGAACTGAAGAATTTAAATGGAATATGGGGTCAAACGGGTTAAGAATAACTGAAACCTTATATAATTGAACTGAATTAATAATTTAGATAATACTGTACAGTATGTGATGTGATTAAAGTGACCAATTCTTGGTGTGAATTGGTCTCACAGAATATTCTGAAGAATATATAGAACAGGAATACTGTATTTTACTTGACGTGTACAACTGAATAACGAGGACGACTTGCGAACCGGGGGTGACTTGAATATCGATAACGAGGGTGACTCGCAAACCGAGGGTGACGTGAATATGGAGAGTGACTCGACTTCTTTGCGGGAAGGGACGGCTAATTTGTTTCGTTGTCTTATGTGATCCCGCAGAAGGATGTCCCGGACCACTGGTTCCCATTTGGATACCTTCTGCGGTCCGTATTTAGCGAACGATTCCATTGCCTTCATTAGCGGCTCTCGAATTGGATTACTAGACATTCGCCACATATTATGCAATCATTAATACAATACTTACTAACGAGAGATGACATACTCTATCGGCAAACATAAAGTATTGCGATTCAGGAGTCCGTCGGTACAAACCCAGGCCTGCAGTTCATGGATGGCGTCCATCACCTGTTCTGCGGCCAAATGAGAGGTTTGCAGCGGTTGTAGGCATTGATTGGTGGCCTGCAGTGGGTTCTCGTCCAGAACTTTAGCCAATACCTGCCGCAAGTCTGACAGTGCCCTACAATCCACATATAGTTAAGGTTTACTTAAACTAAGTTAATAATCAAATGTTAGATTCACTACTGTATTAGAGACTACTGTATAGTAATAGTACTATATATGGGGTAATATTACAATACAATTATTTACTTTAGGACGAGAGGGTCCTTCAAGTAATGGCCACCAGTGAGGGGCCCCTCCGCCGCCTCCAACGCTATAATAGAGTCAACCTTTCGGAGCATCCGTTGAACTGTTCTCAACGTGTGGTCCATTCGGTTGCTGTCAGTCCTCAGCAACGGTGGGAACGTGTCATTCAAATGGGTGTCAGATCTGGGAGTGAGTCTCACGAATCTTCTCATTTTAGTACTACTTTTAGATGATTTAAAAGTTTGTGCAAAATAGTCGACCAAATCAAGTGACAAACAATTGCGTTAATATTAATGCGACACTAAACGCTTGTTATCTGTGATTACATATAATCACATCATTATATCTATTTATAAGTCCATTGCAATTAACAATCAATTTCTTTATTATACAGTAAATACTGTATTTACTCTATACGGTAGACTTTAGACACCTTATTGTTACGAATAATTTAAACTATTTTCATTGTAATGTGCTCTAGTACAATTTTACCGGTAATCACAAGCCACTGATTACTTGTTAAAACATGAATATTCGTTATTAATAAGATTAACACAAAAATAAACAATTATTTATTAAAATAATGTTAATTCTAAATAACCCTGATACCTAATTAATTAGGTATACTCTGTATAACTACGGTACTTACTGTAAAGTATACCGTAACTCTAACAATAATGCTGATACAATTTACAGACAAATTAACAAATTGTTAACTTTATTTGCATTTATTTATTAATCCATTCAAATAGACATCAATTTGTTGTTTAAAAATACTCTCCATTTATACAAATCAATACAAATCTTAACTCTCGAAGCGAACCCTCTTTTTAGGCCTTCCCTCAGCGCCGTTAGCCTCGGCACTACTCGTCCTATTATTAGCGGCACCGACACTGTCAACGACGGGCACAAGAGATCGCTTTTTGGTGTCCGGCCTCTCACTCGACGACTTCCTGAAGGCGCGAGTCTTTCTCAACGATAGGTTCCGGTAGTTTTGACGTCGCATATGAATGCGGCCTAACGTCGACCCCAAGCCATCCCTATTGATGTTCTTAACGGTCTTTCCCTTCCGGAACTCCACTTCGGGCCGCCTTAAGGCCCGCTTCCAGAGGTCTGGTCCTGCCGTACGTACTCTACGCACCGTTAGGTCCACTCTGGGGCCCATCTCCAGGAGCTCTACTCTCGGCAATCGAGTGCCAGACTTCTTGAGCGCCACTCTATAGCTCCGCATCAATA